AACGGCAAATGTTTAGCAATCAATGTTACAAATGATTTGACAAGGGGAAAACCACCATGTTGTTGCGAAAATAGAGCTTTGTTGTAAAGAGTAGTAATCATTCCGACAACTGAGGATATAAAGCACAATTTAGACATGTTTAAGTGATGAGCAACATACATACATATATAGAATTTAAATTTTACATTTAATTATATTTTTCATAATCGCTTTAAGTTGCTTACTTCATAATATTTCAACAGTTTTCAACAATGAAACATTTATTATCCCAATTACAAAGTGTACATATATGCATTTGTATAGACGTGTAAACATATTTGTGTGTAAAACTCTCAGCGTTATACTCTCTTAAGCGTTACGCCAGGCGCTTAGCTCCGCCCATTCATGTGGAGAGGGTGTGTGTTCAGTCTCAAGCTGTGCAGTCTATCAGCTATGTATGTACCAACAAAATATGTTTATGTATACATAAATATGTACGAACATGTGTGTGTACATGAGAAAATTAATGAATACGAATTATGGTGTGAAAAATTAATAATTTACTGAATGTAATTTATGAGAAAAATTAGTAAAATGTATGTAATATGTACCTTAACATATTACTGTCTCCTAAAAAGGGTATAACAAATTTGCCACGAAGTTTGTTATACCCAGAAGGAGACGTAGAAGACTCTATAAGGTATAGGTATATATAAATGATCAGCTTGACGAGATGTGTCCATTTAGCAATCTCCGCCTGTATGTCTGTCCTTCTAGTTCTGACGCGTACTAGTCTCTTGTCAGTTTCTACCCAGGAAGCTGCTTTGGAACCGTCGATAACGGACACTATAGCATATAACTGCCATACAAACTGATCGATCAAATCATGATAAATATTTTTTATACACTTTTTTTGCTTAATTTTTAATCAATAACTCATATCTAAAGCGGTCTATGTGGGACACAGATGAAAAAGTTTTAAGCCTGCCAAATCATGCGAATAAAATTTATAATTTACTCACTATTGTCGTGGAAGTCTCAAGACTGCCCAAAACCAAACTACAACGCTTGACACGAATGTATCTAAGGTATAGAGCTACATACATATATGTATATGTGGCCCGAAGCAGAATTATGCAATTGAAATCAATAGTTACACGTATAGTCTAAACTAAGTAAACAGCAGTATTTCAAAAGTTTTTCCCAACCTCTTTTTAATCGTGCTTATAAATATCTACCCAAATAGAGTCAAATGCCGATCTAAATATCTAATGAATGTGTAAAATACTGCTTAAAGTTTTAGTAGGGCTTAATTATGTATATACATATATATGTATATATATATATATATATATATATTTCCTTTTTAGCGATTATTCTCTATTGCTACAACAATAACCATAAAATAGTAGGTATTATAAAATATTTTGCTTTTCTTGCGTCCCAATTTGGATTGTATGGCAGAGAAGTTCAATGAATTTTCCTAACAAGCATTATTCCTAGAAAACACTGTATGAAGAACATGGAATTCGACGAGAGGTGAGTGAAATGTAGGTTAACTCTGTTAAGAGCGCTCTGTTTAAAGTTTTCTCTCCACGTGATCAGGTCGGTGATACAAGTTACCGATAAATGCCCGATTTTTTCATATTCTAATTTTCGTGTGATCTGCCTTGTAAATAAATATATAGCTCTTTAAGCTTATATGGTATAAGACAATTTAAATATACACAGATTCTATTCACCAAAAATCGATATAACAAAATAAAATTAAGGCCGACATGCGTCTGGTTGAAAAATGCGTAGTAAGGAAAAAAGCAATATGTTCGGGCAGGATTGAAAATTAGATAATATTTATTTGAATTAAACTCCAGTATACCCACAAATGGGTTAATTCTACATACAGAGGTATATTAAACTTTCTAAAGCCGAATTTTTAAAAATGTTAAAACAAACAATCCCCTCGTTCCAGTGAGCCCTGTGCTGACTTTGAGTTTTAGTATTTGTATAATGTCTCAATTATGAAAGCAGCCTTATCGTTTAATTCATTTGTGATATATGTACGAGTGCATATATGTATATGTATAAGGTCATCCATTTCGAGCATGTATGTATACGTATAATCATGATAAAAATTAACTCGGACATTCCACCTATTTTAATACAAATCTTTAATATCGCATTCCTGGACTAACACAAGCATGCCAACGCCTAATCCAACTTTCCATACACTTTTTATTTACTTCGGATGGGATGGTCTTCAGTGCTTTCAGCGAGTTCTGGAGCTTTTGGCTTCGTCTCATTTTTGAAGCGCCGATCGCTAGATTGTTGGTCAGTATCGACATTATGAATTTAATGTATCAGTCTGCGACTGAGGTATAACGATTCATATATACAGACGATATATGCTTGTATAAACAAACATTTCATACTCTTGCAACTTGCAATGATCAAATCCGGGAGAATTCCTTCAATTAACTAATGTTACAAATATATAACTTATACACTAACCGACATACAATACATATATGGTACAGTATATAATTTGTTAGAATAACGAAAATCATTATATGGGTATATGAGAGTTGGGGTAATTTGTAGACCAATATCGCACATTTTCGGCATTATAGTATGTCCAATATTATCCGTTCAGTTAATTATGTTGAGATGTAAGATATCTCACCGATATATATGGTATAAAACCAATCAGAATTTTGAAAATCTCATATTATGTATGTACATATACAAGTATGTATGGGAGATGGAGGTAGTATTGACTCGATTTTATATATATTTGGCATTAATACATATTAAAAACAGAAAAAAATGTTTTCTGAGTTTCATCGCGATACCTCACATACCATCAACAATGCATAAGGAGTAAAGTCAACCGTATGTTTCAAAATCCTGTTATTAGTTATATGGCGGCTATTGCAAGTTTTAACCCGATTATATCTCACAGATTGACCGTTATTTTCGATAAAAAAAAATTCGTAATAGGAACTGGGGGGGTCCATGTATTCGGTATCTGGGAGCTAGACAAGTTTTAATTCGATTTGGATAATTTTTGGTTTTAAGCTGGCACACTTTAAACTCAGTATTCGTGCATTATGCTGGAAAGTGAAGGAATTTTGGATTTTAAAATTGTGTTATATGAGAAGTGGGCATGGTTGCAGTCCAAAATCGTTAATTTTCGCGCTGCGGCATAAGAATGTCAGAATAATGCTACTTATGGGTTTTCACCTAAATGTAGTCAGGGTAACTCCGGCTCCTATAAAGCCCTCATGTATCATTATGGGGGTAAAATTTAAGGCTTCTCGCGAGGTTACCATCCGATTTCATTGTTACAGTGTCGGTAGTGGTGCATAAGCGATTTATTCTGAGCGAATTTGATTATTATAGCTTTAGCGGTTTAGGAGATATGTACATTAATTAAGCCTATTAGAGGGCGGGGCTACGCCCATTGTTTATATATAATTTTAGCCCACATGCGCCCCTTGCTACTGCGATCCCCTGCTAATTTTTACTCAAACTAGTTATACAAAAGTAGTACGATACTTTAATTGACTTGCTTGTTTGTCAAACTTTCGACATCTGATTTGAGAATTTACTGAGTAGGAAGTTAAATTATTTTCGAAATCTAAAAAAGAGCATATGGATAATAAAGAACATTATATTAAATTTAAATTGTTTTACATTTTTTACTAATTTTTAAATATTTCAAACCGTTTCTTAATGCAGTCAATTAGTAAATTGCTTAGTGTATGCCAAAAAAGGGATACATTTCTATGTGAATTAAATACTGTTGGAACCAAGGTTGCAAATTTTCTAATTAAAATTTTTTTCATTAAAAATGCAATTTAACCCCAAAAATAAAAAAAAATTATTTAAAAATTTAATCAAAAATTGGAGTTAAAAATTTAAATTAAAAACAAAATGGAATTAAAAAATGAAAAATTAAAAAAATTAAATACAAAATCAGAAATAAATAGTGGAAATTTATTTTTTAATCCCAAAATCAGAATTAAGTATTGACAAAATTTTTCATTTCAGAATTGGTCTTAGTAAAACTTAATTTTTCAAATCAAAAGCTTGAAAAGGCATAAAAAAAGGAATAAAACACATATTTCTAACTGAAAAATTATAAAAAAAAGTAGCTATTGTAAATTGTATTGTAAAAAATATGTAAGTGTTTTAAACTATGTTAAAATTTTATTAAAAATAACTTTACCTTTTACAAAGACAGCCAAAATGGAATTTAAAATTCGAAAAAATATATATATTATTTAAATTTCTAATTATAAACTTCGGATTGATAATTTTTTTGTTTTCAATCCAGTTATGGGCTAAAATTTTAATTCAAAATTTTTTTATATTAAACTAATAAGGCATTAATTATTTGCAACTCTGCTGTGAACGGCTTGTTAGCCAACTAAATTCACTTCTTACCCTACGTTTACATTTAATTAAAGCAAAAAATACAAAACAAAAAACCTCAACAATTACTATTTTACAACTTCCGTAAACCAGCGAGAGCATCAAAAAGGCTAAATGAGAAAAATTTCAATACCTAAGTGCCGAATCAAATAATTGAAGAATTTCGAAAAATAAAATTGGAAAGACACAAAAGCTAATTGAAAACCGCATTGGTGCAAAAAGTGATAAAGAAAAGCACAACAACAACAAAACACATTGCTTTTCATTTATGTTTTCTCCATGTGAGAGCTCAGCGCCGTAATGAAACTCTTTAACACGGCCATAATAAAAAGAAACCGAACAGCTGTAAGATAGCCAAGGCAATAACTGTTAAAGCTACTTAAAAGTAGAAATGCCATTTATTAAATTTTTAACGGTAAATTATCTTTAAAGTACCGCATACTTAGCTTAATTGTAAAACAAGGATAAAGGAACTGATATATAATGAGGCGCATGTGAGGAAAAAATTTAGAATGAAAACTGTAAAATCAGCAGAAGATGTAATAAGAAAAGGGGTGTTGTTAAAGTAATGAGTGAAGTGAGGTTAGAAAATGAAATTATGATACTTTTTTTTTTAATTATTTTCTGTCAAACTTAAAAACGTTTTTAACGTTCATTACATTTTCATATAAACTTAAAACTAATTAAAGATTTCACACGAAAATCTAAAAATTTGTAGTAAAACTCATTGTTAAAGCTACGAATAGTCGGTTATGTCATTGGGTATGGTGCCGTCCATATCAAAGCAACGACAAGTACAGGAGCTCACCGGGCACTCGGAGTTTTGTCTGCGCAATATATACAATACATAGAGGAAACAATTCAATTGTAAAAGAATATTTCTTGAAAGTTAACTTACTTGAACCACTGCATCATGTGCTCAGTGTGACCGCCGTGACGACAGGTTTGACACCAAGAGAACCACTTGGAGAATGGTTTTGATTGCCAGCCAAGGCTCTCATGCGTTGAATCGCTGGGTAGCGTAATGTTGAGCGTGGTGCCCATGTGTAGTAAGCAAAGTGAGCAGCGTGGCAGGGGTTTACGACAGCTGGGGCAGCTGGAGAGCTGTGTAGCGGTAAAAACCAATAATATACAACAGCAAAAGGAATATGTTTAAATTAACACTTGCGCTTACCTTGTTCACATTTGAAGTGGCGCTGCGCATGCGCGCATCCTCCTGCAACGCGTTCGACACCGACTTGCCACAAAAGTTGCATGAGAGGTAGACGCTGCGTGTGGCGCGTTTGCCAGTGCGCAAATTTTCAATTTTTATATCCAATTCGGCGCGTTTCTCCCACAAGCCCCACGAGTTCAAGTCATCCAAATAACTGTTACAATTTATATTATAATAACAATATATTTGTGCTATCTCAACCGATTTACCTGCTGATCCAGTATTGTATGCGATTATCGGTAAAATGCTCACGATGAAAGTAATTAACCGCTATCAGCGCGACAGTTTGCACATCTGAGGTGGAATCCAGGTAAGCTTGTAAAATATTTATGCCATCCAATGATTCGCCTGTGAGCAGCAAGCCATTTAAGTCACCATTTTCTATAGACTTCTGTATCAATTGCTTAACATAGTCGGATAGTTTGCTCTCCGACAAATATTTGCAAGCGAAAGCCACGCGGTCAGCGAGCGAGATACCGTCTTCGGTCTGCAAGAAATAATATTTTTTAACATTTTTATCTGGTATTCCAACTGCTTTGCTTTGCTTTTACTGCAACATACCAACACGGCATCGAAATTATCATTTTCCGTGGTGAGAAAGGAGAAAATTGCACGCAAATGCGCATCCTGTATTTGTTTGTTCGCATTGGAGCGTTGATTGCGCCACGTGGAATTGCAACGATCTGCATTGAAGCTGGACAGGGCAATCGCAGCTATACGAAACATGCTTGCATCGTGTGGATCCTTGGAATTGCGCGAGAGATCAGCTGCTTTTGAGAGTATATCACAAGCGAAAACGATTTTTAGATGAAAAACGCAAATCATCGCAGCTCGACTGAATTCCTGCAATCAAATCGAAAGTGAAATGATTTTTATGAAATATCGAACTCTCGCAAATCACCTTATTGTCGCAGAGACCATTGACGAAACGCTCCAGATCCTGTTCGAAAACCCAACCGCAGAGTTTCAGCGCAATGTCACGCTGCTCACTCCTGCAAAAGCAATTGCAAACATTTTGAGTTTGAAATCTGAGTACAAATGTATAAAACAAACAACCACACACCTATAACACACTAGATTATTTGAATTGATGAAGTCCGGCCATTGCAACACATGTGATTCAATGCGTGACGAGGCCATTAACGCCTCGGAGGTGTGTCCCAAATTAATGCCCAACACACTTTTAAGCCCCGTCAAACGTTCCTCTCTATATAAATTACCAAGTGTCAGCCATACGCTCTTCAAATAGGGTGTTAGAGGTAAACTATCCACATGCATATCAGTTTTTAGGCCATAATCGGCCAAAGCACGCTGATAAGTTTCCTCAACTAAATCTTCTTTGGATAAATTATTATCAAGTATTTCAAAATTAAGCGCCGAATTCAGTATGGATGTAGAGGTTAAAGATGAAGTACTCTGACTGCTATTTTGACGTATTGGTGAATTTGCAATAGCCAATGGGCGCTGTGGCAGAAGTGGTAATTTCTTGTGATTGCTATAGGTGGTGAGTAGCGAGAGCGGTAGGCGAATTTCCAAAATGTTGCCTAGTATGTAATGAAAAAAAGAAATATTTATAGTTACAATCAATCGTTATAGTGCTTTCAAGCATAAAAACCTTGTTCCGACAACAGCAAAGCACGCTCATAATCCGTATTGTGCCACGAAAGTGAGGTTAACAATGGTGGTTTATTAGCGGTGTAGTATTTGGCTTGGAATGGCTGCAATTGGCGCTTGACATGGTACACCTCACGACTACTCTCCGCATCAACGCTACGTATATCATAGAGGGTAATGAAGGGCGACTCACGTTGTAGTGAGGTAAGTAAGCTTGTGCTGCAAGTAAATCAAGTTTAAATTTTTGCTTTAATAAATAAATATATTCGCATTTCATGTACCGTGTTGGACACCAGCTGAGTTGTAAATGATTTTTGCCCGATTGTATGATCTTCAAAGGATGATCGAGCACTCGCAAATCCCATAGTGTAATAACAGAGTCTAAATAGGAGCAAAGATAATTGCCATTTGGCGCCACAGCAAGTCCGTGCACCATTTTCGTTTGTATGGACTGACAGGTAGTATTCCCCTCTGCAATACAGAAATTGCGTTAATGCGTTTCTGAAATCTTCACAAAATGTTTTACAAAACTTACGCTTCAAATCGAAAAGCTTTATTTGCTTCTGACTCACACCGGCAATTAGTACGCGATGATTTTTGTCCCAACACATGGAGTGTGCGGATTCGGAGTGGCCAAAGAAGCTAACTGTATATTAAATATTGAAAAATTAAAGTTATCCTTTTTGCACATTTTTCTTCTAACCTCACTTAAAAGTAACAATTTTCTTCTGTAAGACAAAACGGTGCACAAAACTCACCTGAATCTTTGGGCACACCACGTTCAATATCCCAAATTGTGATGCACGAGTCTGAGCGATGACGATCGTGTCCTATAGCCAAGACATTATGGTCTAACTCGTTCCACGCTAGGCAAAGGCACATACGCTGCTGTCGTGGTGCTGCAATTATTGAATATTATTAAATTTTTTCCATTTTTAACTTCTTTTCTTAACTTACTGAACTCCCAGCTGTTGTCGACAGTCTCATGAAAATCACATATGCCTACTTTGCCATCACCCAAGCCGACAGCGATAATAGGCCGATTCTTGTGGTATGAGGGCTGCACACAACGCGCGTATTGGTAACGTGTTTCTGTGGCCAAAAAATTGGCCGAAATGTTTGGTAAAGCACCTGTAGAGCGGAATATTGATTATTTCAAATATATATGGCGTCCTAGCAAAAATTAAGGCTTTGTGTCGCCATTAAAATTTAGCTTCCCGATGCAGCTTTTACTTACTTCTCCGACTATCATCGTGCTGTGTGCGTTCATACAGTTTTATTTCTTGTCCCCAAGTCACAAATTTATCCGGAAATTGTGGAAACCAACTTAATCCATGGATTGTGCCACTCATCATAACTTTTTTGTGAGTCTTCAACTTTTTCGTGTGGCTTTATCTTTTAATTGTTTACGAAAATTCTTCTTATCAGCAAATCAGCTGTGATGCTACCTGAGCAAACCGAAAAATTGCTCAAATGTTGCCATATACCTTTTAAGCCAATGATTTGTGGATCGTAAACTATAGGCAGAGAACGTAAATTAGTATACGTTCTCTGTTTTAGAAACATTTGAACAAAAATATTTTTACTCAATCCAATTCTTAGCAATAACAGGGTGGTTTAGTTAAGTTCTAACCTCAAGAAACAAAATACACATGTAATTTTGCTATTGCCCACCAGGTGGCACCACCTGTAACTTACGCCATCTATAACGGAAATAGCGGGATATTCAGTTTGTGCAGTGCGTCATTTATTAATTGTGAAAAAATAAGTAGTTTTTTAATTAAAATTGTTTGAATTATTGTTTTCTTGTGTTAACAGTGATAAAAAATATGTAAATTGTGTGTGTGTTATAAAATTTAAATGCAAGTGAGAAGTCAAAGGTGAAAAAACAGTGTTTGAAAAGTCATTCAGTAGCAAGGCTCCTGCTCAATGTTGGATGCCTCCTGTTAAAAATCATTCCTTTTAATAGCTGTAATGATAGTGTTTGTAAATATTGGTGCAAAGTGTTGTAAATTAGTATGGAAAAGTATGGTTAATCCATTAGTAGCATGCTGGGCATGATCGCTGTGAATCAAGGCGTAAACGAGTGCTGCGTTTGTGTAGTGTTAATTTCAGTAAATTTTGTGCATTTTTGTTGCCAGCGTTTTGTATACATAAGGTAAGTAGCAAAATACAAGCATAGTTACATATGTGCGTATTTGTAATTACTAATGAATACTTTTTAATAATTTTGTTTATGCATGTAACCATTTTCACAAATCAAAGGGGAAACTTTAGTATACCATCTCACGATTTTAGGGTTAAGAGGAGTATGATTGGATAGAAGAGATTCTCCAGATAAAGAATATAAACAATTATAGCCGCCGGAAACTTATAGTTTTCGAGATATTTGCAATTTCAAAAATTTTATCTTACAATTTCTCTATTTATAGTTAATTTTTCTATTATAAATATGATGCACTTATTATACAATAACACTTCACTAAATTATTTCTACATATTTATTTTATATTGATTATTTTAATATTTGCTTTAAATAAGCCTTTTATTTTTACACAATTTTCGTTATATGCACAATAACAAATGGGTTCCTTGAAATCGTGGGATACAAATTTTATCGGGATACATTTTAGAATAGCATCCCCCGATTTCGGGGTGAAAAGAAGTATAGGCTTAAAGAGGAAGTTCTCTAGATTAGGAATATATATGTATATTTTGTGCCATGGATAGCTTCTAGCATACTTGTATTTAAGTTCAAAAATTCACCAAATTTTGTTAAGTAAGTTTTGCACTTTTCATATAAATATTAACACTTCATTAAATGGTTTCTAAATATTTATCATACCCTACTCGGGGTATATTAAGTTTGCCACGAAGTTTGAAATACCCAGATGGAAGCGTCGGATATCCTATAAAATATATATGCATATATACATGTATATACAGTATACAGCATAAGTGAAGGTACGGTTGGTTAATTCCACTATTTTGGATAATATTACTAAAAAATGATAAAAATAACCCGAATAACTTGTTAGCATTTCTTTATTTAATTATTTATTTCTCTTATAAAAACAAAAAAAACCCATTTTTCTTTTTCAATAACATCAAAAATGCTCAAAGTTCATTAAAAATATGAAAAAAAAATTATTACTTTTCACAATGCTTTTAATTGCTTTACTTAAACTAAACTGAATGACAGAAAATTTATATTCGAACAGAAAACATAGCACTCGCGACACAAAAGTACCGTTAACTTCATAAGAAAAGTGAGCGAGTGGCGCCGTACCTAGACTTTTGCGATGCAATTTTTTATATTTTAAATGAACTTTGAGTAATTTTGTTGTTGCGTCAACTAAAACTATGTGGTTTTTGTTTTTATAAGAGAAATAAATAATTAAATAAAGAAATGCCAACAAGTTATTCGGGTTATTTTTATTATTTTTTAGTAATATTATCCAAAATAGTGGAATTAACCAACCGTACCTTCACTTATGCTGTACACTGTATGTATATAAATGATCAGCATGACGTGCTGAGTCGATTTAGTCATGATCGTCTGTCTGTCCGTTTTGTCCGTCCGTCCTTATCAGTTCCTGAGTTTTTGAGATATCGATCTGAAATTTCGCACAACTCCTTTTCTTCCAAAGAAGCTAACGCGGAACCGTCGGTCGGCTTACTATAGATATAGCTACCATACAAACTGACCGATCAAAATTAAGTTCTTGTATGAAAAGCTTTTTTAAATTGACAAAATTTATACTCTGACAACTTGTTGCTACAGAGTATAATAGTTTTGTTCACCTAACCGTTGTTTGTATCACCTAAAACTAATCGAGTTAGATATAGGGTTGTGTATATAAATGATCAGGATGAATGAATGACGAGTTGAAATCCGGGTGACTGTCTGTCCGTCTGTGCAAGCTGTAACTTAAGTAAAAATTGAGGTATCTTTATGAAACTTGGTAGACATGTTTCTTGGTACCGTGAGACGGTTGGTATTGCAGATGGGCGTAATCGGACCACTGCCACGCCCACAAAACGCCATTCATCAAAAACAAATAAATTGCCATAACTAAGCACCAAAATATTATACAAGACTGTTATTTGGTACACAATATCACATTAGGGAGGGGCATCTGCAGTTTAAAGTATTTTTTCCTACACCGCTAAAGCTCTACTAAGATAAATTCACTGGGAACAAGTATTTTTAGCACTCCTATCGACAGTGTGAAAATGGGTTAAATCGGATGACAACCCTGCCCAGTCCCCATATAACGGTACTGTTAAACACTACTAAAAGCGCGATAAATCAATCACTAAACAGGCCAGAGATATTCAATTTTATCCCTGGGATGGTATGAGATGTATTTATAGGAACCGCTTTTAAAATTAGACAGTGGATAAAATAAAGTTATAATACTAATATATAAATGAGATATATTTACTTTTTTGTTTTCTATAGCAGGCAGGAGAGTTGAAGGCCATTGGGCACTGAGGATGATCGAGGATGGCATTATTGACTTACATACGGTTGGAAGTTTCTCGTAACAATGTCAAATCTGACGGAGTGCTCAACCCACTATTAAAAGCAGGTTGTGGAAAGATCAATAACATGCACAGACTTCTGGAAAGCATCCGATCATAGGTATGAGCATCGAAAATTAAATCACAGTGATCCTGACAATCGTTTCGTTGCGCAATATGGAACACACACGCAAGGGAAAGTGTCGCAGTTGTTCGTTATTAAAGTGTTTTTCATAAAAGACAATTAAAAAAATCCACAGTTTTCCAGTAATATGATTATAGAATAATTATAAAGAGAAACAATAGCAAACAACCATGAGGATCCTTTCGTAAAACTTTTAAAAGCAATTAAATAAACGTAAAACCGTTTTTATTTATTTAATTGAAAAAATCGTTTCTAATTAAAATTTAGTCGGTATTTCCTGTATTTGGGGTATAAAGTTTATTCTTTCATTTGCAAAATATGCAGATATGGCAATGTCTATTATTTCAGTGAAGATATATCGTCAAATTCATAAGTTATCCATAGAAGGGCTGGATATTGATCATTCAGTTTTTGTGGCAGCTAATGCTATAGTCGTCCAATCTGAACAATTTCTTCGAAGATTGTAGAGTTGCCTTGCTCAATAATTCGTGTCAAATTTTGTTAAATAAAAAAGTTTTCCATACTATGAACTTGATTTGGAAAGATCAGTTTGTATGACAGCTATATGCTATAGTGGTCCGATTTGAACTATTTTTTCTGTGATTGTATCGTTTTTTCGGAAAATAACCTATGCCAAACTTCGTAAAGATACCTCTTCAAATAAAAAAATATACCATACAGGAGTTTAATTCCGCTCGTTCAGTTTGTGCGGCAGCTAAGTATATGCTATAGTAGTCCGATATCGCTGATTCCGACAAATGAATAGCTTTTTGAGAAGAAAAGGACGTGTGCAAAGTTTCAGATTGATATCTCAAAAACTGAGGGATTGGTACGCGTATATACATACGGACATAGTTAAATCGGCTCAGCTCGTCACGCTGAGGTCTCGAAGCGTCTCCCTTCTGAGTGTTACAAACTTAAAAAGCTGTGCTTGTTGTAAGTAATGTTGTTGCGAAACAAACTGAGCCAAGTGAGCTATGACGTAAGCACCCCTTGTTGATGAGACCAAAGATTTGAATAAATAATATTTTATTAATATTTTTCATATTTAATATATTAACGGTTTGATCTACACATATAGTAAGACATAAAAAATGCCACTTTGTCAAAATGAAGAAATACTTTTGTTAAAATTATAAAATACTTGGAAACATTTGTAAAATATGTTCATACTAGAAGACCCAGTCCACGCCTTGCTATGGCTAAGGTATAGTTAAATTATATTTGAGTATGCTGTTTAATATAGTAGAAATATTATTATTGAAATTAATTTCGGCATTTTTTGCTGTCAATATAGCCCAATTACACAGCTGTTTGCCTAGGAAAATACTGCCAATTAATTATTTTTTTCTGTGTACAATAGTGCTGAAATTATTTGGCAATTAGCCTAAACCGATTGTAAATAGTATTTTGTTCATCTGTAATTGCTCACTCTTCGCGATAACTTTAGTTAAATTACATGGTCATATTGTTTATACATTGACATTAAAAATAAAGTTTTTGTTTTTTAATTTCCGATCGCCACCAAACCTTACAGGTTCGTCGCTGGCCAACCTGAAGCTCTCCCGAAAAAATTCTTTGAAATCGGTCCAGCCGTTTCGGAGTTTATAAGGAACATACGTACAAACTTTCTATTTTATTCATATGTATATATGTAACAACAATCAACCTTGATGACCAGTTTATTATTAATTATTAATTTTTGAGACCATTAATTTAAATAATAACTATTCTATCATCATCGTCATGGGTAGCATATAAATTTATGTACTGAAAAGATGTAGACCTACGAGTATTTAATCTATTTTAAGAGCGAAGTCACATTTCTCTAAGTGTAATGTTATCAGAAATGTTCGATATCACCTACATAAGTATGTACTCGTATATTGGGACATTGCCGGAAATTCTTATTTCGGTATATGAACATATCGCTTATTCGTAATGCTATTGTACGAAATAAGAATAGCTTTTATTTTATTTCATCAGCAACTTTTATCATTAGAGTATATTAATTAGTGTTATTTAGCACAATTCTGTAGTCACCGTTTATTTATACCAACTTAGCCAAGAATAGCTGACAGAGATGAAAGATAAATCAAATTTTTTTATTTCACACTAGCTACACTTTATCTGTCGAACGCGATAGTTCATTTGTCAACTAACTGTCAATTGTTTACACATTAAGATATGAAAAACGGTTAGTATGGCTACTAAGATATCATCGGTAAACAAAATTAAACATTTTGTTTGTTTTATGAAGTTTCTTAACTATTTTTTTCTAATTTGATGTCGCTGATTTCCAATGTACCCTCAGTTTCTTTCAAGCAGCTCTAGTTTGTCTATGTCTACATTAAAAAAGAATTTGTTTAAATGACCTGCATTGTTTTTGCGCTGTTTGTGGTGACAATATTTTTAGAGAATGCCGTTTAAATGCGTCTGATTCTATAAAAAAGGCCTGTTTGGACTACTTTGGGAAACCATAACATGCGCTGATATGCGTCGATCTTAAATTGTAACTTTTCTTTTGGGTCAACAAGGAGGATATACCAAATACCCCTGTTTCATGTGCTTATGCTTATTAGCTGAGCCAAGACAGAACACTGAACTAAAAAGGAGAGGGAGTTTAGTACCGGTTAGTATAAAGCTATGGAAGAGCAATACCAGGGTCGTTGGAATGCAAATATGATGGCTGATTACTGCTGGATCATCCAAAACAAGACTGCTGTTTCTACTCATACAAGAAAAGCACATAAAATAAAGTTTTTTCATGTTAAGTAAGTAATATGTTCATATTATTAGAGCTGCTAGAGAAAAACTGACTACAGAATTGGATTCAGCACGGCAAAATCATACTAAATTTGGTAAGAAACTGCATAAAATAAAAGTAATATTCCACAGTGTATCTAATGAGTAAAAATTTTAATAATTTATTGCACATTAAATTCTAAATACTATAATAATTTAATTATATTCAAAAGAGCTTCATAATTTATTTACTCAGTTCTGTGAAATAATGACTCGAGTGATTCAGTTTGTATAATATCTATGTTTCGATATCGGCGGTTCCGACAAATGAGCGAAAAAAAGAAGAGTGTAAAATTTCAGATCGATATCTCAAAAACTAAGGGATCAGTGCGCGTATATACAGACGGACATGGCTAAATCGACTCAGCTCGTTCCGTTCATTTATATAAGTACGTATTTTATAGGGTCTCTGTCGTTTATTTCTGTTGCAAACTTCGTAGCAAAATTAATATAACCTGTTCAAAAAAGAGATCATACATTCATGTCCCCTTAAATTTACTTTAATGTGCATGAGTTTGACTAAAATTGTCGCTTAGTAAATAGGGGCCCAAATTCTACTATCTGCTGTGTTTGTTCTACGATGCATGTAATTTCGAAGAATTCTTTTATCACATCAGTACCATGTTGACTTTCATTACATTATCACCGTTATTTATACGCATATGTATTTAGTGAGCTATTGATTTCTAATTTAGCTTGTAGATAGCTGTTAATGACTTAAGATGTTATATGTATATGTACATGAGTAGAAACTTACTCAAGCATTTTCTGTGGGCATTGATTAAAATCTTCTTGGATTATTGAGCTCTTTTTGACAATCAGCCTGCAACTGTTGGACTGTAAAGGTCAATGTGTGTAGCTAAGTAATTTGTTCTTTGTTTGCTCTACTCTTGGGTAATTAGTAAAATAATAAAGAGAATGGGTGGCACAGAATGCAAAAAATTGACAATGGAGTAGTAATTAGGTTGTTTATTGGAATGAATGATGACTTAAAGAGGTCGAGAAATTTCAATAGAAACTCCTTTTATTTGCTGAAAGAGATCATCCTTATGATGTTATTAAAACTATAATAGCCAATCGCGTCTTTAAAACCATTCGGTAACTATTTTTCCCAGTTTGACCGACATTACGTCGCCAATAACGATCGACCGAATTTCTGCTGGTGATTCGAAAATGAATTGCCTTGAGCACCACAAAAAGGAGTCTAATGGAGTTAAATCACAGGACGTAGATAATCAATTGATAGACCTTCTTGATATGATCCAGTTATCAAAACGGATCGCTTAAAGGATTGATGTCACATGCGGTATGGCTTGCTGCACCGTACTGCCAAAATCAATTATTACTTTTTCGTTTGATGTTACAGCGTTGAACCAAACTAACGGTAATACTGCTTCCATCTTCAGTTCATTTTGAAAAAAGTATGGGTCGATTATGATTTCGTTACGCAAACGCAAAGTCGATTGGTGTTACCGCGATGAAAGGAACGGCAATGTACCATTTTCATAGTAATAAATTTTTAAAATAATTCCATAAAAGATAAAATGGGCAAATATGCATATGAAGTAGTCGATTTTCGAGCTTCGATTGATCGATTTTCGATTGTATCGATCTATTAACGGCAGTTGTAACAGAAAAGAGTATGTCATAAGTTTTAAGCTTGCAATCCCAAGAGTTATTCCACATAGTCCAAAATATTCCATTCTCTCTATTCCTTCGTCCTTTACTTCTCCCACATCCACGACCGATATTTAAATACATTCTGGAATAAATTCTCATTTCATTTGCTAATCGTGGAAATTTTGTAACATTGACATTTTCCAAGGTTGACATTTCAATTTTCATTTTCGTCATTAGGCAGTCTGTAAACAGCAATCGGTTGGCATTTAGCAACACAATGTAAATGTGCTAAGTACTGTTCTTGTCATAAAACATTTGTATGTAAATAATAATTTATATATGCACATATTTAAGTATAACGGATGTCTGTAAAAAATCGTGAGAATCTTCCGCTTGGATATTCAAAAGTGACATTTCTATTTACGCCTTACAATAATAACGGTGTATTTAACTAATTAGCGTCACTTAAGTATTGTGTACGACTTATGTACTTATATACAGAGCAATATTTGCTAGCAATTAATAACTTTAATTATTCTAATTGGTCGTTATATTAGCGTTTAAATTTTATTTATAGTAATACATGTAAGATATGAAATTTTCTATGGACTTGGTCTAGATTTTTTGAAATTTTCGGTCTAGTTCCTGATCTGCACCGACCGACGGGAGATCTTAAGCTTTAAGCCATTTAAAAAACTAAACATTCTCTGTCAGCTGTTCTTCGACAAAAATGGTCACCAGTAAACTATATTATGTTACTATCTCTCTAAAACTTTCTAAAAATCATTAGAATCTTTTTTGGCTTGTGATAACTTATTTTTACCCCGAATCTAATAAGTTTTTTCTTAGTACCAATCAAGTCGTTCCGAATCGCACAATTAAGGCAAAGAGTTGATTAGAAACTAGCACAAAAATTTATGTACAAATAATTTCGTATCTAATTAAAACAAAATACTCTACCAAAAAATTATTCGATAGATGGCGCTAAGTTTTATATACTTGTATTTATAAAAACCATATTTATCACTTGATTTAATTCATATCTTCAGCAACATTATTGTAAATATTCAGACAGTGAATACTTAATAGAAAGCCTCCGGCTTGACCCCGAGATCGCGTCAAAAAGAATTGGCTTTTATGGCTAAGTTAGCCAATATTAACTAGAATACTCTCCAAAATTCCTGACCTCTTATTTAATAATTTTCGAGTTATAGGTCTCAGAATGACGCTACTTCAGCTACACGTCTTTTGAACTTCGATACGGTTCATTCATCTCATAATAATATTCATCCAATGGAAATGTCAGAAATATATATAGCAGCCCTCGTACGACCGTAAAATTGAAGAAATTAGATTCAGCGTTCCAGCGACTATTTCCTCCATCAGTAAACGGAGATTATGTCGAAGAATAAGGCCTTATTTTTACTCAAAAAAGTCGTTATAAAGATCTAAACTTTTCCGGCTGTGTACTACAATCCGGATGTGTACCACAGTTTCCGATAGATGGCGATGGGTCTATAACTATATTTGTGGTTTTTTTTCAAAATTTGAACGTTGATTTAAGAATAACGTGTACACTAATATAATTCAAAGTATTGTCTAGCTGAAGCTTAAACATTTTCCGATCTTTCTGGTAGTTTGTGGATTCTATCCTAAAAGAACTGAGCCGTCCAAATATGCATCAGACCAATTTTTCATACTCTGTTCTGATGTAAACCGTATTCCAGTGTGAATGTTCTGCATAAACTGGAAAAAATTGTAGACAGAAGAAGCAAGTGGTGTACTATAATTTTTGTGAGGTAAAACTTCCCAGCCGCTGTTTGCCAAAGAGTTTCTAAACTGCCTTGCTACATGTGGCCCAGCGTTGTCTTGATGGAAAATTATTGCCTCGTATTTTGTCTCAAGTTCCAGGCATTTTTCGGCAAACAGGCACATCAATCAATTTGATTAGTTGTTGCCGTTAGCTTTCGCGATAAATAGTTTCACCCTGTCTGACCCCAACAAATACAAAGCATTATCGTGACATCATGAGTATTAGGCTTTGCCATTGGTTTTGTTGCTTGGCCAAGTTTCACATATGCTTTTTTGCATTCGGGGTGACGTAGTGGATCCATTTTTCAACACTATTCACAATCTGATGCAAAAAACTCCTTCTCTACTTTTTGTAGCGTTCATGCAGCATTTCGGACATGCCAACTCTTCTTTCAGCATCTTTTGGCTTCAATTTATATCTCACCCATTTTTCTTGCTTTTGAACGTATCCGTCCACTTTTAAACATTTTGAAATGCCGGCTTGATTGCTCCCAAAAATTCTTTGAGCTCTTTTTGTATTTGGCAACAAGCTTCATCGAATAATGCTTCCGGTTCCTCTCTCTCTTCAACATTTTTACGCCGCCCAGAACGTTCTACGCCTTCGAAGCTAAAATCACCACTTTTAAATCGTGAAAACCACTTTTGCCACGTCTCACTGGGAATCCTCTAGTGTCCATTCGCACTTGACTCTACCTTATTCGCTTGCTATCAATATTAGGAATTTTCCTCAACTAGCTCAATATTTGCCAGCGATTTTGTTGCGACTTTAACGATTGCAAATATTTGCTTTTCAACTTCGCATATCAATAATTATTGTTAATAAAATAATTGAGGCAAAATGCAACTATTGTCACTTCCATGTTGAATGTTGAACAAACAAAGTAGATTTATATTCTTATAACAATTGTGTACATACTATATTTACATATATATATACATATAGTATTACATTAATATTTTGCTATTGTTATTGTTAAACAGAAATTACAACTAAATGAACATTTGTGCCTTTTTTGCACATAAACATTCCAATACTCTCTGGTCTGGCTTAGCGCTGGCGACAACAACAATGGCATATAGAATATATTATATATCCACTAGCTAACACTTAGCAACTAGCTATGACATAAATATTATACAACCATTCACGATGTGTTACATCAAAATGCAGCTAGGCTTGCAAGTTTTGCATTTGTCCCATTTATTATTATTTACTTTCGTTGCTTTTTTTTCCCTAATTTTCACTAGTTATCACATAGACCCACTTGCATGCGTCACTTTGTGTGCCCGACTTCTTGTTAGTCTTCGCTTTAATAATGAAAATCTAAATGGGTCTCACTTAGCACGCCATTAATAGATTTCTCTTGTTCTTTTAACACCGCATTGTCATTCTTTAGCGATTCCTGAGTGATGCTTTCGCACAATCGCTCGTCATCGTCACAGAATATCAGCTTGGCGGAAGTTTGAATTAGTTTCTGTTTATCCGCACCGAGTCGGTGTATGAGCAACAGTGGGCCATCGCCCGTTTCCGATTGTGACAGATCGTCGGGCAGCTTCGAGATACCCTGCGCTGCGGTGAAGTCAATGCCGCTGATCTTGTGGCAATCCATGACGACCGGCAAACTGAATTGGACGCGTTCGCAAGCTTTCATCACTTTGGCGCGCAAATGATTGATGGCGGGGAAATAGATGACGCCAATGGGCGTAATGCGTATGTACTGCAACTCATTCACCTAAAGAAAGTGAGCATTTATTGAATGAATATAAGCATATAACCCAGAAAGTCATATTCCTCTACGTACCTCTGCAATTTTCACCGAGATTTGTGGATGCGCCCACATGAATAGTAAATGCAGCACCGTGACTATAATACTGACCAAGAGTCCCACTTCTACACCGCACAGTATGCACACTGTGAAACATAATACCCAAACGCAGAAATCGCGCTTAGCATCACGCCACAAGCGGCAGGGCAGCTTCAAGTCCAAAAGTGTGACAATGGAACACATTAAAATGGCGGCAAGCGTTGATTCGGGTATGTAATTGAAATAGGGACTGAGAAAGCCAAGCGCCAGCAATACAATAGCGCCTAATTTTAGTATTTAAAAGATATATTTGCTTAAGTTATCAGGTTCATAGTATGATTTTAAAAATTAACGCAAAATATTACCTAAATACAAGTTGGCCATTGGCGTTTTGAGACCACAACCATTACTGATGGCATAGCGCGAGAAAGCGCCTGAAACTGGCATAGATTGTACGCAGGAACCCGCAAGATTACACAAACCAACAGTAATTAATTCTTTGTTAGCATCGACCATACCTTTAGGCGCTTTAAAGTAATGAAGAGAGTAAAAATTTATATTTATAAATATTTTGACTGCGCTTGTTTGAAAAGTCAAAATATTTTTTTTATTGCTTTTATCGCATTATAAGTTCAAAGGAAAGCCATTGGTATAGAGTATTTAACTAGATAGTGAAGGAACTTTTTTTATTTAAATATATTTTGACGCGAATTGTTTAGGTATTAAATACTAACTGAACACTCGAAAACTCATATATATAATATAGGTATTATATTATATGCGTCAATTACGTATTGTAATCTAAAAATCATGTACTTATTTATCTTTTATCGCAAAATTTTTGTGTATTATTAACTGTTAGCACATTCGAAAGGTCTTAAATATAATATTTGTGTTAATTACTAATTGTAATGTAAAAGTAATGATTACATATAATCAAGTAATTTATGATTACCATCGAAAAAAAACACTTAAATGTATTTAAGAAATATTTACATCAAGAAAATAGTGATTTCAAATCATAAACAAATTAGTAATCGAATTAGTAATTATAATTCAATTATCATATATGTAAGTATGAGTACGCTGGGTTTTGGCGCAAAAGGTAGTTGACACATACTGCTTATCATGTCAACAATTTTAAGACTCATTATTCATTAATAATAAAAAAGTAATTTAATCGATCATTTACTCAACTTTTATTTTGGATCTTGGCAGCATAAAAATTACCACAATTTGCAAGTAATTGCAAACAATAAATCATTAATTCTCAATAATTGTTAGCTTGTCGTGTTATGATTACATGTAAGAAAAATCTTTTGATTAGCATTGAAAAGCAGAATAAAAAATAAAAATCCAATTATTGCAAAGTACGAGTTTTAGGATATTTTAGTTTGTTTTGGTTGTCATTAACTTATGCATATAATTACTTATTTGTGAGTACAAATATATATACAACAATATTTTTTATAATTTAACTGTAAACAATTTTGTTTGTAATGCGTTTTTACAGACAATCACGTCAAAATGTTTGCCTTTTTCATATTTTTTCAGTAATTATATTTGAAACACAAGTTTTCCAATTTTTTTTAATAATACAAATTTTTAGTGCTCCGTTCATATAGTCAATCTTTAACTGCAAAATTGCTCATTTATATAATTTATTATATTGAAATTTAAATGACAATATTGTTGTTAATTGAACACACTGTATATTTGAATTTTACTTTTTAATTTTTAATTATAACAATAATTTGCTGATATAAAGTATAAAAAAAATATTCTTCACGTGCCATGACGTAAAAAATCTTAAACCGTATAAATTTCTGAACATCAGATTGTGTGCTGGATATCTATGTTAAGCTCATATAGACTCATTTAAAGTACTAGCGATAAGAAGAATTAGACTAGTTCATTAATGCAAGTACTTTTAAGGATTCCCACTGATAGTCTAGCCTTAAGTTGGTGAACGTGCGAAACATTAAAATGCATAATACATTGTTGTAACCCTTGAAAGCAAGTTTTAGAGAGACTATTATGAACGTGGACTTGTTAATTAATAAGTATTTTTAATATTTGCGTAAAGGTTCCATAAATCATAAAGTTTTTAAATTTCTAAAGAGCATTCAATTGATCTGAACATACCGAAAAAATTTCAATTCTTTTGAACAATAAATTTAGTTTTGACGATCTGCCTTGTATACTATTGTAAGAGAGACTGTAATACAAATTTCGGGTAAAAAATGGAATATAATTACATCAACTAAAAAAAATATTTGAAGCTGCTTTTATAATAAATATTCTTTCCACATTAAAGATACTTAAAGCACAAAGAAAAACATTCTTGAAACGTTTTTCGTAAACTGAATCAAAAGCTGTTGCTTGAATCAGAACATTATGTAACTATTATATAGTTATTATCAATTTCTAAATCTGTATGCAACCCAAAATTTGGTTTGAATAAAGCATTTCAATATTTTCTGTTACTTACTCAGTTTACCAATTGAGATATTCGTGAGTATGCCAACGATGGGTATAACAATAATGCCCACATTCAATTCGGCTAACATATCGACAAAAGTATATGTTTTCTCAGGTGTTTTCACCGAAAATTCCGGAATCGTAAAGTTGGGTAGTCCAGAAAGAGCATTGGCTGATAGGGCATAAGGTACAGCGTTTTTCTCGCTAATCCAAATGTATGACACGGTGCCGGTGATTATAACTACCAAAGTATTGCGGGAGAACGATAAATAACGCAGAACGGAGCTTAATTTCGGGTTCATCTTTGGATTATCTGCCAATTTTTCCATTTGCTGAATGAAATAAAATAGTTTTAAATAAAAATTAATAAATTTAACCAGGTTTTGAATTTACTTACCGCAACGGCGAATAGAAAACAAACAGCAAAGAGGCCCATTACAAGGTCGCCAACATTGGTTTCTGGTAGCCTGGGCAAAAGCGTAGCTACAGACCCAATGAAACCCGAAACCAGATATTTGATTCCCAGCATAACCTTGATCTGTGATTCGATGACGAGAATAGCTGTGGCTGAGGAGAAAGCCTTAATGATGGGCACTGAGAGGAATTCGAAAATTACGCCTGTTGTAAAACAGAAAAAGAAACTAAAATTAATATTGTATATAATAAGCGAAAATATTAACTAAGGGCTAGAGAAAAATCATCATTAGGTTACATAAAACGTATGTATGTGTTCTTCTGAGGTGCTATTAAGCTGGTAGTTTCATGGTTGGGTCAGAATTTGGTAGCTTCGGTTGCCACTACCGATTTGTTTAATACAAAGGCTTTCTTAGCAAGTCCGATGGTGCTAGATTTAGATTTTAGATTTTTATAAAAATCGAAGGAGTGTTATTGTAATTATAAATGAAAATGAGAAGGTCTTTTGTGAGTACGATATTTTCAACTAGTAATCTTTTATACACCAAACGCGATAATTTTACTTTTTAAATATCTTTTTATTTGTGATTTTGCCTATTTAATTACCGAATGGTAATCATGACTTCTTAAAATTGCCTAATCTATCATATTACTATATGACACTGAAAATATTGTATTTATTTTTCTTTATACATTATTTCAATAATTTTTATTTGTACTGTAATATTTGTAACAGCAATTATATTATTTTTTTTTGTCTGCTTTTAATGAGAATGAATATAGTTGTTAGTTATATTATTATTATTACATTACTTTGCACACATATTTTTTTAACTAAAATGTATAATAATGATAAAAATATTTAATTACTTTTTGAAGTATAGAATAATTCAAACAAAATTTGTGAGCTTATTGCTGAAGTTAATGTGTTATAGAAAAAAAAGCACAGTCATTAAAAAGTAATCATTACTTAAAAAATGTATTTAATTACCAGCTATTTAAAAAGTAATCATTACTTTTTTCTAAAAAATATTCTTTCAAATTTCAAATATGTGACATGTAAGCAAAGTAATTAAAAAGTAATCATTATTTTAAAAAGGTGATTAATTACCAGGTATTCAAAAAGTAATCATTAGTTTTGAAAGTATTCTTTCCACTTTCAACTTTCAACTTTCAAATTTGAAAATTATTTTTAATTAACTAAGTAAATTTATTTCTAGCATTTCTTTTAAATTTGATGTCTTACTACTTTTTGTTGGTAAGCACGTGCATTTCAGGCTGTTAACCTAGTCAACAATATACATATAAATATATTAATTGCATTTATACAATATTCTCGAAAACCGGTACATGTTTCAAAAACTGTAGTCAATGGCAATGAACGATAGGCGAACAAGCGCTGACCGGTTGGGCTACCTTTGGCTGTGTCATTTATAAATATAATATTCCTCCAAATAAATAGAAATCAAAAAACAATCCAAAAATGCTCTTATCGAAAAAAAAAAGTTTCAAGTATCCCTGTGAGACAGCGCTGACGGCTTACAATGATGCACAATATTAACGGTTGTTTTAATGTTACAAGCATATTTAATTACATGCTATGTACAAACTTGGTTCTTTCCTCAAAATACTTCCTATCCACATTAGAAATGCTATAGAATATGCACACATGTTTCTATAAAGCTCTTGGGCCGCTATGGCAAACTCAAGTCACTTAAGTCTAATTCGTAAATGTTAGCGAGCGTCTTCAAATCAAATTTGAGTACTAATACGAGCCGTATAAATTTTACGTCCAACACCGGGAACGTTACCGTTGTCACCGACAGCGCTGAATGCAATTCTGGCAATTGTACGAATTGTACGACGCGCGTCATACCGACCTTCAACTGCCCTCGTTGTGTGCGCCCACCGATTGAGCGAGAGTATGCCTGTTTGCACAGCCGGTTTTCAAGTAGTCGGTCACTATCGCCCAGCCTCAGGCCATACTACATATGTATAAACAAACGTTTATTTACATATGCATCTGGTAATTCTGGTATATTACCTATGTTGGCAAAAAGTTAAAAGTTAATAATTTGCAAAATGTTTACATACAAGAACATAATGTGCTTTAATAATACTTTTTTTTTGCTTTTGTTTATTTTTGTTTGTGTTTGGTTAGGACTATGCGTATGCGGCTTGTTGTTATATATAAAATAGATCATTGGCGTTGACGATAAAGAACGGGATTTGAGGCTCAACTGTTAAATCTAGACTAACTGATTTAGACTTAGCGACGTAAACGACGTAAATCATATATTTTATGAATACAGGTGGTGTATAATGCACACAAATAAATTCTTGTTTCTACACAATATTCATTCATCATTTCTTTGGAGCCTTTATTGTTTTTACTGTCAATATTAGTTTAAAAACTCAGCTTTCTTTAAGTACGGAAATATTAACCACGTCGAGAAAAATGAATTAACATTTTTTGTGAATCTACTCAAATTTTTAACTCAATTAAAAATTACTTTTATTTTAATTACTAAATTACCTGTTACATAGTAATGATTACTTTTTGATATGTTGAATGCAAGTAAGTGGCTTACGTTACTTTAATTTGAAATTTATATAAAAATATAAAGTAATTAAAATTATTTTTAGTAAAAGTAATGATTACATTTGTGATTAAATTTTGATTACCTACGATAAAATTTAGTGCATTCCAAAAACTAAACTAACAGTATTAAGCAGCTATGAAGTTAATTAAATATTCCTAAAAGTAATTATTACATTTTTGATTACATTTTGATAACCTAAGTTCAAACTTAATGTTTTCCAGAAACTAAACTATCAAGCAGCTTAAGTTAATTAAATATTCGTATTGTATAAAAGTAAAAATTACATTCGTAATTAACTAAAACTAAATTTAATATATCTCAAAAACTAGATTATAAAGCAGCTTTGAAGATTAAATATTCGTAAAAGTAATGATTACATTCGTAATAACATTTTAAATACCTATGATCAAATTAAATGTGTCTCAAAAGTTTGATCATAAAGCTGATTTGATGATTTAATTGACTTATGGAGCTAATACTAATTACAGTACTAAAATTTAACTACTATATTTAACAATTTCAATTTATTAAATTAATTAAATTATATTATATATTTAATGCTTAAAACTGTTATAAGGTTCTCAAAGCAAATGGTTTACTGTTTACTTTATCTCTATAATTAACGATTACTTTGTTATTTCAATTTATTCTATTCGCTTAATTATGTATATGAAAAAAAAAAGTTTAAAAAAAATTGTGATAATTACTTTTGGAAAAATTTATTAATATTATATATAATTACTCTGAATTTTATTAAAATAAAAATTGCAAAAATAGCATATACAATAAGAATATTTAAAATTTAACAAAATGATTAAAATTAAAAAAAAATTTATTATTAATATTAGAGTTTTTTTTAAATGTATAATTTTTAAATTTGGACTATTTAAATGAACTTAATACATTATAATATAATTCTCAGTGCTATATATTTCATATAGATATACTTTATATATCAAAATGTAGAACGCGATTTCTTACAAAGTATACAACTTGTTATAGCTGCTACCGTTAAACACCCCACTCAGACGTTTGTCACTTTCAGTCTCAATAATCAAGCACAATTCTCCACCACTTGACAAAGTCTTACAATTAATATCTATAATACAATTCAGACACTTACCCACGCGCAACGAACCCATTATCAGCTCCACAACGCCGGTGAGGAAGGTGAGCAATATAGCAAACTCAATTGGCTTGCCGACAGTGAATTGCAAACTGACTAGTGCCACCAGACTGGTAGGACCAATGATCACTTTATTTATGGAACCGAATATCAGATAGACGAAGGAGCCCAGAAAGGCCGAACAAAGACCATAACGTGCTGGTAGACCGGCTAGCAGGGCGCAAGCAATACTCTCAGGAATTATGGTAAGACCGAGGGTAATGCCGGCTATTAAATCGCTCATTGCCCATTCCGTGTTATAATCGCCAATCCAATTGAGTATTTCCAGGCGACTGCGTAGCGCCTTCTGCACTTTACCACCCACCGTGTGTGGTGTTGAACTGCGCCGCAGTGCATCGCTGGTGAAGGGTTTCGCCGATTCCATTATGATTTGTGTGGCATCCTGTGGCAACATTTGTGATTTTGCCGCCTTGTCGACACTGTCGTAGCTCGTCATATTTTAACTTTTTATTTTTACTTTTCACTTTTCACTCTTCAAGAATATGTTGTATATACAATATGTTTCTAATTAATTCGCTATTTATACAGTTAATGCTTTCTTTAAGAATTAAGTTTCTTTACTGGCACTGTGTGATTCGGAATTATTTCCTTTTTATTACACACTTCAAACTTTTCCACCGCTTTTATGTTCTAAACACCTACATTTACGACTATACTTTTATTATAAATTAATCTCTTCAGCACTTGTATATTTCGTTCACAATGATCGTGTTTGGTGATCCGCACGGTGTCGTTCGGATCACGCGTTGTTTTGCTTTTGAACTTTGCGGTGATATGCACGTTACGCTATGCGCCGTCTGACCTGCTCCCGCTCAATTTGATTGCTTGTCGGGCCGATCGTGTCATCGAGTAATTGCTTTGACTGTTCTTATAGGTATTAGGTATGATCACTCAACGCATCGTCTTGTTATATTGCACATACTGTAGGTATGTATGTATGCATGTCTTTATTGTCGCATTTGGAGAATTGTCGTACAAGTATTTGCTCTAAATATAATCGCCTCTTAGTGAGATCTTAAAACAGCCGCCATGTGTGTATTCATGTACTTAGCCGATGCCTTTTTGTATGCCCCGCGTTCTCGTCGGTATTATTTGTCTGTTTTAGCTCGCCCGAAAGTAAGAATTGTGTTTCGTGAATGCAACGAATCAAGCGATGCGCGATAACGATGATGGCTATGCGGCGGGCGTCGTGTAAACAATAACCCAAAACGCTGCTAGTTCACAAATTTTATACCAGCCGATTGAGTATATGTAGATTTGTAGCATTTAGCTACATAACGGTCGATAAGTAATGCATACTTACCGATCCGCTTGTCACTAGATAGGCGTTGTAATAAATAAATTTTTAATTATTTATCGGTTGATATGTAGAATAACATTGTATTTTTGCAAAGTACCGCGTATGACTTTCTCTGGCGCTTTCTCGGAAGATCAGTGTTTTTGATGGAAGCTTTAAAGTCAGGTAAAGAAAAAGTCAGAAAAACAGATTATTAAAGGAATTTTTCCAAGTTACACAAATAAAGTTAGAAAAGTTACGAATAATTTTCGTATTTTGAGGAAGTGTACTCAGCCAGCCGAAATTTTTGTGCTTAAAATTCTTTTTCAGCACTACACAAATTAATATATTTCTGATTTAATGAATTAATCTCTTAGTGGCCATGTTATCCCCTAAGTGGTTTTTCCAGAGTTCACCTTAACTTGGTAGCAATGACCTTGCATATTGGAATTATCGAAAATTCACGTTAAGATAAGTCCTTCTCTAATGCCTCTTTTTAACTGGAGCCAGCCGGTTTTTTCCACAGTCTTTGGTTCGTTCTTTGATTCTCAAGTTTGCGTTAATTCTACCAAATGAAGCCAGTTCGCTCTCCAGTCGGTCTCTACAACACAGCAAATGTCTTTTAGTGCCTTTGCTACCGTTAGTTGTTATCACACTGGATGTTGATCTCTGTTGAAGTGGTAATAAAATTTGTTTGTTTGTTTGTGACTGGTACTTATTGCGTTCTATCGTTTCCTTTTGATCATTTCAAGAGCCACTTCATGGAAGATTAGTGCGGTTGTAGTCTATCGATAGCAAGTTGTTAGTTGTATTTATAGAAATATAACGGTGTTGTGAACTTCGATGAGATCCTAGCAGTTCTTTCGAAAGAGATTGTCCCCCATCCCAACTTTTTTAAAATGATGGAATGTTAATGAAAAAACAATTCGAGGGAAACATTTTGTGAGTTGAAGTCTGTAAATGTGCAAACCATGATCCATTAAGGTAAATGTTTGTTACGGTTTTAAGCCCTCTGCTATCACCAGGGCTAACGGGAAATAAAACGTGCTCCAAATGAGTAAACAACATGAAAAAATAAATCTTCTGTGGGTAAAATGCGTATTTCATAGACTTTGAGAAAAGCTCTTTAAATAGCCAGAATCTTTCTTTTAGTACTTTAATCAGTAGAGTAGTACTTATGGTTAGATAAGGTTAGTAGTAATTACTGGATCAAAATCCATTATTTGAGTTAGGACAAAAGTTCTTAAAAAAAGACGAAAAATTATTAAACAATTAAGTTTGATTCATAGGTGAAAGCAACGATTCCGTGTGACAACGAGCAGTTTCGGGTATGTACAGTTTCCTGGTAGCTTTGTGAGATTCTTATTATATTTATAATGAATGCCGGGTTGACTGTAAATTGTAATATGATACACTGGTCAAATATATCGATCGTTTTGATAAGAACCGTGTAAGAGTATGCTATAATAGATAACAAAATTCGATGCATATATAAAATCCGGTATTTACCAGTAAAAAGATCTTATGAAAGCTTCCTAACTACCCATTAAATTTTGTCCACTTGAATTTTTCTTAATTACTTAACCATTTGTCTATCTGTACACTTGTTTTATTTGTTTAAAATAAAATCTACTGACAACCCTTAAAACATTACCTTTTATAAACTTATATTAATTATTTATTATAACTTATTTATTTTATTACTTATCTAGTGCACATACGTGTATTGTTGAAACTTTGCGACAATTAATTAATTACTTTCAAATATTTGCTAAATAATAAAGAAATATTTATTGTTCGCTATTTAGTTATAATTCGGAACTATTTGTATAAAAATTAAAATTCGTTTGTAGTGGGCAATCATAAATCATTTGTTATTGGCATATATACTAATTGATGGTATGTAATTAAGTTACACACATTTGTTGGTGTTAACAAAACTTTGAATTCAGCAGACACCTTGCCAGACTTACTTATCTAATGAGCAGATCGTATATTTCTAACATCACATATATTTGTTATTAATTGCTAATATAACTTCTTCGATAGCATTCAAAGATTCTGCTAAGGGTTTATGCAAGAATAGAAAGTGGTAATTTGTTTTCCGAGATATCCGAAATCAATTAGTGCTTTTTACAGGTTTTGGGTTGCAAACTAATGTTGTACCCAAACTCAAACTCGTTCAACAAGGGGGCGCCTGTTAGTAAGCTTATATAATAATTCAATGCGCCGTTGGAACACAATATAAAAAATCATAGTATTCGATACATATGGAAAGGCATGAGGATATAGATGGATCAATATTTTTCGTAAAAATCAAATTATTGTAAATGTAGCATTCTATTTTAATTTTATTAAGACCTCTCAATCATTAATCGATAAATTTATCTTGACTGGCTAATTGATCATCCCGATCAGGCGATTTGACTTTGTTAGACTACAAGCACATTTTGACGGATACGTCTATACTGATAAACCAACTACGACGACCAGTTCGAAATCAGCATTCGGCACGTTATTCGCGAAATAAGTTGAGAAGGGATGAGAAAAAAAAGGGGAAGGAAAAAATGGTGGAAATTGGCGCGACTAGATAGCCATTATAAGAAGCAGTCTTGCTAGCCGTGCGCTAAGTTCTATTCTAAGATAATAGACTTGAGAAGTAGGGTTTACGAAGTTTGCCAGCAAGTTTGTAATACTCAGAAGAAATTATATCAAATATATATAATATATAATTGATCAGCAAGACAAGCCAAGTCGATTTGCCCGTCTGTCTTTCGATCTGAAAGTTTTCTCACGTCTTTTTCTCCACAATATGCAGCTCATATGTCGAAACCGACAGCGGATCACTGTAGCATAATCAAGTCCTTGTATGGAAAACTTTTTTATCTGACAAACTACGATATTTGAATGAATTTTCGAGCGTGACAAATATGTTTTAGCACTTAGACTTATGAAAAATTATTACTAATTTAATGAAAAAACTATAAAAAAAAAGTAAGGAAGGGCTAAGTTCGAGTGTAATCGAATATTTATACTCTTGCAATTTGAATTTTAAGAAATCTTATAAATTGAAAAATAAATAAAGTTTAAGTCAAGCGAATGTTTGAAAATCCGAATATTAGGTATGTGGGGACTAGGGGAAGTATTGTCTTGATTTCATCCATATTAGTTCGAAAATATTTATATTAGGTACAGATGGTCCAATATGTTAAATAAAAAATCAGTCTTATGTACTGAGGTCCGATTTCGACAATTTTTGGTCGTTAGATGAAATACCTTGAGGGCACTATTTGTGCAAAGCTTTATTCTGATAACTTTATTGATGTTTGATTTGTATAGAGTAAAGCGAAGTAATCAGATGGAACTTCAGATGGTGTGTAATATGGAAGTAGGCGTGGTTGTCTTATCTATCTTACCTATTTTCGTAGTATATAATAGGAAAGTTGGTTGAAATAGGTCAAGTTGTTCATGAGATATAAGTTTTTACCTAAATGTGTAGTTTTCAACATAACCGTTATATGAGGAGTGGGCGTAGTTAATATCTCATTTTATTTATTTTCACAATGTGTAAAGAAATGCTAAAAATATTTCTTCTCATTAAACTTGGCTTATTTAATCTAAGCGGTTTGGAAGACTTGTACATTAAACCATTTACGGAGCGGGACCCCTCACTTCTAAAGAATTTTTGCCCACAGATGTCCCTCACTACTGTTATCCCTTGTACCAAATTACAGCTTCGTAAGAGTTTTACTTACGCTGTAAGGGTTGCTCGCGAATAATTTTCGACTTCGCTCCAGCCTATATGTGGATACTTATTTGGGTTATCTTGCTACCCCCATCTTTCACCACGGATTAACATTCACTGTTAAACTACATATATGTGTGTATGTTGAACTGGCGATAAATCTATCGATTAAAATTTAAAATTTGTCGGCAGCTATTTTATCGCATGTCAATTTTCAATTATCAATTGTCATTTATGAAACAAAACCACTTTAAAGTTGCCGAACTATCACTGAGCGTAGAGAAAATGTCTGTCATGATAAAATTGTCACTGTCATTTTATGTAATAACTTTTCGAAACATTTTTCGCAAAAATTCAAGAAAACAATGGCGTAATTTGAAGCGTTTGTATACATAAAAGGCTGTTTTAGATAAATTTTTAAGATACAACAAACTATTTTTCAAACGCTTCAGTTTAATGAAATAAAAATATATTATGTTGACAAAGATTTAATTCAATTAATGAATACTATTTAATTCGCAGCGAAGCAAGGCAAGACTGTAGAAAATAGTAAAGGAGAAAGCAGTAAGATCCAAATGTAATCAAACAAGAAATCTGGTCTTGCTCAATGAACTCTTCTGCGAGTTAACGCATGCTTTTACTGATTGAATGATGATCGTATAGAACAAAGTACGTACTTGTCGATTTTCAATTCAAAATATAACTAAAAGATCGGCCAAATAACTGTGCTATGTTTTAGCACGTAAAAAAATCGTAGTATTTTGTGATCGGAAAGAAAGATATACTAAAGTGAAAATTTAATAAGAATTTTATTTATAGAATTGTCTTTTTGTATAAATATAACTACATAAGTATACCATATACTGCATACTTCTTATCGGTCCTCTAATATATTTTAATGAGACACACACGTTCTAATCAATTACAAGCATACTCGTATATCAGTGCCGTAGATGCGTATTGGCATGAGAGGCGATTCTTCAGGTGCTACAAATAAATTTAATTAGGTAATTGTTATTTTGAAAATGGCAAACATACTATTATCGTTATTTTAATATTTTCATATTGAGTTTTATCTTGGAATATGCTTCTGTATATAGCTATACGCAACGCGGTCAAAATACGATAGACCGCACTTTTTATACCCTGAACAGGGTATATTTATTTTGCCACGAAGTTTGCAACACCC